CTTATATCCCTTGATACTGTCTCCCCATTGCACAGCTAAGGAAAAACGGAGGTTCAGAAAGCAGAAATAGCATATCCAAAGTCACACACCAGAGTAGTGATGGGTCCTGATCATCTCCTGGCCCCCGGGATCGCCCCAACCAAGGGCCTGGCTCTCAGGAAGGAGACACCTTGGTGCCTGTCTCTCCTGCATTCCCCTTCCTCCTGCGTCCTTGCCCCGAGTCACTCTGGGTTACCGCCTGTTTCCTGGGCTGAGGGAGTTCCCCACCCACTCTGGGATCACTCATCTCATCTCGAGGAAACTGTAGCCTCCATCCCCAGCTTGGGAGGGGCTGCCCTGGGTTCAAATGATGACACTTGTACTTATCTGTGGATTTCTCCCCCTTCTCGAACTGAGCCTCAGTTTCCCAGTTTTGTCTAAAGGATTGAATGGAATCAGGGGGTTATGCCCGATATGGGGCAACCCCAGGGTTGTGTGTCCTGGTGGGAGCTCTGAGCTCTGGGGTCTGCGGCTGGGGAGGGGGTTGCTCAGGAGGCAGCTCAGAGAGGTGAAAGTTAGGCACAGACAGACTGAGAGCAACCCAGACACAGATGATAAGCTGCGAAGCAGGGACCGAGGGAGGGGGCCTGCAGAGCACATCCCTCCTGCCACCACCACCCCCTTCCGGCCCCCTCCATCAGCACGTCTCTCTCCCTCTCCTGACTTCGCACTGATGTATTTTGAGAAACTCGTGAAAGGAGGCGAGAAAAAGGGTGGGGAGGGGCTGGAAGATTGGGAAAAGAAGGGGTGAGGTTATCTCAACTCCCCCTCCCCCCACTGCACCATCTTCCTGCCCCCTCCCTTCTGTCCAGCCTTATTCCCATCCCTCCAGTTCCTAGAGGGTGGGGGACATTTGGGGCTAGGAGGTGACCTGCGGCGAGCAGGACTAGTGTTCCTCTTAGAGAAGGACTTGCACAGCCTAAGGAGATGGACTGAGGGTCAACTAAAGATAGGGTCAGGGCTAAGGGGACAGGGTTGGAGGGAACGGCAGCAGGGGCATGGTGCTGATGGGGCCGTCTCCTCCCCGCACTATGGCCAGATATTTTTAGGCTTCTCCGCAGCTGAGTAATTTCTCTGACTTGAAGCCAGGGCTGGGGTTGGGGGTGAGAGGCTGGGGGGAGGTGTCCAGACTGCCCTGGAGACACTCAGGTCACTGGGGTCATCTCCCTGGATGAAAGGAAGTCCTTCCTAGCTCTGGGCTATATCCTTTGGGAAGTCTACGATCGCCCAGGAGCCTCATTTATGGCCTGCAACTTCTTTCTCCCCCAGAGACCCAGGATATCCAGGCTTCTCCTCCCAGCTTAGCTCTCCTCAAGGACAAGGACCAATGGGCCCCAATCCGCTTTAGCTTCAGATTAAACTCTCTGAGAGATGGAAACTGAGAAGACACAGGGAGATGGAGACACCCAGGATGGGGGACTAAAAACCCAGAGTGAGGGGAACAGACACCCAAAAGGAAAGAGTTGGAGACCTAGAGAGAGGGCAGCAGAGACTTGGGGGTGGGGGACAGAGACCCAAAAGGGGGCAGAGATCCAAAGAAAGGAGGCAGAGTGAAGATAAGTGAACGGAGACCAAAAGTGGGGAAGAGGGTCAGAGACCCAAGAGAGGAAAAAAGGATAAAGTCTGGGGTGGGGTGGGGTGGGGCACGGAAAAATGAACGAGGTGATGGATGAGACTGGACCAAGGAGAGGGGACCACGGAAAAAGGAGGGAGAAAACCGGACAGATGGGTGGAACCCCCACCCACGGGCATCGCCCGTCCATCTGTCCGTCCAGGCCCGGGTGGGAATGTGCGTCCTCCGCGGGCCCTCGGGCTCTTTCCCGCCCAGGACCCTCACCACGCTCACCGGTGCAGCCTCCCGAGGGCACGACCCGCTAGCTTCCGAAACTCCTCCTGACGGAACTCCATGGTGGCTGTCCCTGCCGCCGGTCCCCCCGCCGATCCCCCCGCCCGCGGGCCCGGGCGGCCGCGTCCGGGTTCCCGGGGTCCGCCCCGGCCCGGCCGGCCCCGCAGCTCCGCTCGGGGGGAAGGAGGCTGCGTGTGCTGGCTGCCTGGGGGCTGTAGCTGGACTCAGCGTCGGGGGCGGGGCGGGAGGTGGCGATGCCCCGCCCATCCCCGATAGACCACGCCTCTTGAGTTCTAGTCCCGCCCCCTTTTGTAGCCCTCCAGCTCCGTTCTGCCCCTGCCCTCTCATTCCAAGACCACGCCTCTGGGCTCTGAACCCGCTCCTTTGAGTTGCATCGCCCCAGTTCTATCGCTTCCCAGAGTTACTTCCCCGTTCCATCCCCCCAGCTTCTTTTCTCTCTTCCCGAGTTCTCTTTGCTCACCTGAGGTTTCCCTCTCCTTTTTAGTTCGCCCTAATTTCGTCCTTGCTTTTCGTCCCCTACGGTTCCATCTTCTGCGTTTTCATCCTCCCAGCCCATCCCTGCGAGTTTCTGTGCCCTCCAGTTCTACATCCCGCCCCCCGATTTCCATCCCCATCCCTCGTCATCCTCAGTTCTAACTTCCTCATTCAGAGGGTGCTTTTCCCATTCAGGGAATTCTTTCCCCCCTGAATTCCGACCCCTATTTCGATCCACCCATTGTCCCCTCCAGTTCTTCCCCCAACCGATTTCTTCCTTCTTGGTTTCCATCCGCTGTTTCCATCTTTCCTTTTTTAAATTCTATCCCCTTCCAATTCTATTTCCTTTCGGGGCGCATGCCCCTCCTGATTCTTTCATCCTCTATTTCCTTCCCCTCTGAATTCCATCTCTCAAGTACACGCCCGTCCCCATTAGCGACCCCCATAATTCCCAACCAGCCTGGAATCTATCCCGCCCTTTGAGTTCCGTGCCTACTCCCCCCGAGTTCTCTTCCCGCCCCTTGAGTTCGGTCCCCTCCCCTGAGATCTGTCCCTGCCCTAATTTTTGCCCCCTCCCCCCGGAATCGCTCCGTCGGAGTTCTGTCCCCACCCACTGACTTCTTTCCCCACCCCCTGAGTTGTGTCCCCTCCTGCTGGGGTCTGTCCCCGCCTTCTTACTCCATCTCTGCCAGCCCTGCCCCTTTGGGGTTGAACCCGGACTGTTTCTCCCGCCCAGGTCCTGCCCCTGCTCCTTTCGCCAGACCAGCCCTTCTCCCAGACGCTGAGTCCACCTCCAGATCCAAGCCCCGGGAGGGTGCTCCTTTCCTCACAGGCTCCCTGAGTCGGGCCGCAAATGCATTTGGGATTAAATTTTCATGATGTGGCACAAGCTCTCAAGGGGGTAGGGAGGGAGCAGCCCGCGCAGCGGGCGGGCGCACGGACCCGGTGGCCCAGCAGCCACTGCCCGCCACGGCCTCCCGTTTCTCGCCTTGTCCCGCTGGGTCTCTGGGTCTCAGTTTTGCCTATGTTTGAGAAAGCCCCGGACTCCCGGGGAGTGGGAGGTTGGGGGCTGGGACTACAGGGTCTGAGGGAGGAGCGGCTGGAGACCCGGACTCCTGGGTCTGAGGAAGAGTAGCCCGCGGAGCCGTCCACTAGCACCACCCTGTGGCAGCAGAATTCCCGACCCGCGTGCGGAGGCGGCGGCCGCGGCTCCGGGCCAGGTGTGAAGGTGGAGCAGATGGTGAAGAGGAGGGAGTAGGAGGGGGGCGCCGGCCGCTGCCAAATCTCGGGCCTTCGCCGGAATCATCACCATGGAGACCAAAGAAGGCTGAAAGGACCCAGCTCCACACTTTTCTGGGACCTGGGAATGAGTTCCTCGGCCTCCCACGGAGGGTCCCCCTGCGAACTACAAGTCCCAGTGGCCACTGGCGCTCACCGTTTGCTTCGGAAGAGCCGCGCTCTCCGAGGGCCACTGGGAGTTGTAGTTTTCTGAGACACCAGGCCGAGGCTGCGAGACGCCCTCTGGTGGACCAAACGCCACGTTCGGTCCTTCGTAGGTCCAAAGACCCCGCATGGGAGGTTATCCCCCTACCTTTCCACCTCTTTACCATCTATCTGTTCCTGTTTCCCTACCCAGTTCAGTCCTTTCTAACCACACTAATCTCGCTGTTCTTCCAACATTTACCACTGAGGTTCCTCCACTTACCTATCCTCCTAGGACTCATGGAAGGAGAGGTGTCAATCATGCATTAACTCAACATTCATTGAGTTCCTTCTAATTCTAAAGCATTATCACACCACAGGGGCATACATTCAACGAGGTAACACTGGATGCCAGACACGGCCAGATTCGAACTCAGCCAGGGTAGATCAGAGAAAGCTTGAAGTTTGAAAAGCTTCCCAGAGAAAGCTCAACGAAGGGATGACTTGGGAGGGGGCGGAGGGAGGGCCCACAGGAGAGGAAACAGTACTTGCAGAGTCAGGAAATGGGACACAGTTTGGTGGGATTGTGAATTGAAGCACCATTCCAGAAACAGGAAGCTTGTCAGGATGAGAGGTAGGAGAGGCCAGAGATGATGGCACGCATCAGATGACCAGTGGACGCAGGAAAGGTCCCCTGGGAGGGCAAGACAATTAGACACTTCCTGGGTTTTACTGGAGAAAACAGACTGAGTGAGAGGAAGGACGGGAATAAAATGAGGTATGGGGCATCTGACTTTGGCTCAGGTAATGATCGGTCTTGGGACAGAGCCCTACGTTGGGTTCCCTGCTCAGCAGGGAGTCCCTCTAGTCCTCTCTCTGCTTGTGCTCTAATAAAATAAGAAAAAAGAAGCGTCAAGGGGGCCACACCAAACATGCCTGGGGTGCTAGGCTGAGGGTCTGGGACCTTCTCCTGGGGCACTAGGGAGCCAAGGAGGGGACCTGAAGAAGAGAAGGGAGGGTCAGCTCTGGGACCTTGTGGGATAGGAGGGGAGAGACTGGAGACCAGAAGCCCGGGGAGAGGATCTGGAGAGGGAGAGGCTGAGGCCACAGCTGGGGCAGTGACTTCTCTGTGTCTCTAGGACCCAGTCCAATGTCCCTCTTCCCTTCCATTCCTCATGTACTCCTAGCCAGACACAGAACAAAGGCAAAAATCTTTTATTTCAATTTCAGAGAAGCCCCCCACCAGCCTCTTCCTCCACTTGGAAGCACAGAAAGAAATCCAATCAAGAAGCCACTGACAGAAGGGGCATCGCCACCATCAGTTGCTGAGGAGAGACAGGAAAAAACAGAATAAGGATTCAGGACAAGGAGTCCCGGCCCCCCAGAGCGCCCCAACTCCCTGCACACTTCCCCCATCTCCCCAGGTACCTTTCTCTTCCGATGGAAGGCTGCCTTGCTCTCCTCGGAGTTGATCCGCAAGGGGATATAGGCATCCAGATGGTACAGCTGCTGGGGGCCCCCCATCACCAGGCGGTTCTCCCCGATCTCCAGTGACAGCCCCAGAGCTCCGTCCTGGGAATAGAGAGAAATAAGCTCACCCTTCCCTTCCCAGCAACAGGGCGATAATCACGGGGACCAGGGAGAAAAGGCTCCTGTGTTGGGATACCATATGTAAAGGGTCTTGTCTTCCAGGAAAAAGATGAGAGACCGTAATTACAAGTCCTTGTGACTGAGCACTTACAATGACCAGAGCACCCTCAGGACGGCTCCCAAAGTGGGCCACGGCAGGCAGCTATACTCAGGGGGCAGTGCTAACCAGGCTCCCACAGGTCTGGCAACAAGCCCCGCTCACTCCGCCTGAGAGATCCTAACCCTTCCAGACCTTTCTCTGGCTCTGGTCAAGCGTGCACTCACCAGTCGGGGGAGGTCAATTTCAGCCAAGAGGAGGTCAGGGGCTTCCAGCCAAAGGTTCAGGTGTGGCTTCTCGGGGCTAGGGAGGAGCAAAACCCCAAATGAGGAGCACCCACCATGTCCTCGCCAGGGCTCATCCTTCCCTTTCTCCCGCCTCTGAGCCCTACTGCCTGGGGGAGCCTTCTGGGTAGGAGTGCTGCTTCTCCCCTCTCTGGGTTCCCAGAGCCCCCAGGACGCTGCTTCCTACGGGGAAGAAGAGACGTGACAGAGAGAACCCATCGAAGGCCCACCCTTCCTCAGGTCTCAGGGAGTCAGGGGTGTACAGGTTTCCCAGCTCCTGGATCCGAGGACGCTGCTGGGAGCGGATATTTTGCTGGGAGATGGAGCCCAGGAACGGCCGATTCTTCAGAATGCGCCACTCTGCGGGTAGGAAGCTCAGGGTCAAAGGTGGTAGGGTGGGGGGGGTGGGTTCCCGTTGCTTCCATAGGAGTCATGACAGCAAGAGCCTCAGGGGAAAGGCTCCGCCCCTCGGAGGACGCCGGGGATCCGGCCACACCCCCAAGCTTGGCTTTAGGAAATAGGCCCACTTTAGCCCGACCCTACCTACCCAGTTTTGCAATCTGTCCCATAGACATGCAACTGGCTCCGCCCCCTGGCTATCCAGACTCCGCCCCTCATCTGGTTTCTTGATACTACCCGCCCCTGCCCCGCCCCCAACCTTGGGAAGCCCCGCCTTCTCCTTGTAGTCAACAGCCTGGGGACCAAGGAAATCCCTGCCCACCACACTAGCTCCACCATTCCCAAGGGCTGTCCCCAAGCTGCTGCCGCCCCTCTAGTCCCCGCTGGCCTAGGCCCCGCCCCTCACCTGGATTCAGTTGCAGACTGTATTTGTCCTCAAGGCCCTCCCTGGCGATGGTGACCACGAGCTCTCGCAAGAAATCGCTGTTCTAGGAGTAAGAGAGGGGGACTGCGGAAGGGCTCCGGGTGGAGGGAGAGGCCCCTGCCCAGGCCTCACCCGCAGCCCCGCCCCCAACCTGCATCCTCCGGTAGAAGTCGCTGTTGACGGCTACGTCGTAGGCGGTACAACCCTGGCCTTCTGTGGGGACAAGACAAAACCAATAAAGGCCAGCAGCCGCAAGAACCAGAGAGACCCGGAGACAATTAGAAAGTAATGGCTCAAGACTTGCACCAGCCTCGTCTCTTCCCCTCGCGTCTTTTCCCACCACATCCCAGCGCTGACCTTGCCCCTTCCCTGCACACAGCCCTTGCAAAGCTCCCCAGCCCCAAGATGAAGGTACGTGTCCTTCCGCGTGGCACTGGAGACCCTGTATGGTCTGCTCCTCCCACCTGGAGAGAAGCTCACTTCTCTGTTGGGGACCTGGTCCGTTTAAATTTCTTCCAGTCTCTCCCGATGACTGACCGATCCAATCAATCCAATTCAATCCCTCTCCAGCTTCTGGACTCCTCTTTCCCCTCTGCCTAGAACCCTCTTCTCTGTCTTGGCCCGATTAACTCCTCCAGTTCCTTCACATCTTAGATCTGACACCTCCTCCTCCAGGAAGGCTTCCCACCAGCCCCCACCCCCCCACCCCCCCACCAGAGCAGCACAAATCATACCATATTGCAATCGCATCTGTCCCCACCACCCTCGCCTAAGACTAGGAGTGTCTCAAGGGCAAGTTCTGGGTTTGATCAGTCCCTCCTCCCCAGGGCACTGCCCAAAGCGTGGTCCAGGAGGCTTCAGGGGATCATATGTGATTTGAAAGACAAGCATATAGAGAAAGAAACTCAACAGAGACAGGTGAGACAAGGCTGAGAGATAGAGACACAGGGAGAAGGGTGAGGAAGGAAACAGGAACAAGAGTGAGAGCTGGTCCGGCCAGCTAATGAGGACACCTGCCCAGCTCCCCCTCACCATGGGGTAGGGCAGGGAGAAGGGCCAGCCTAGCCAGGCGGGCAGGACCAGGACCACCCCATGTAGCAGGTAGTGGAGGCCCAGGAGGCTAGGCATATATCACAGAGAACAGGATAAGGTCAGGAGAGCCAGATTTCTGGGTCCTAAGGGAGGAGGGTCCCTTGGATCCTTGGGAAGAAAGGACCTAGGGAGCTAGATCCCTGGGTCCTCCAAGAGCACTGACTTGCATCCAGCTCGGCATGAGGCTCTCCCAGACTCATGGGGATGCGAAACCCAGCTTGGTCTTCCTCCAGCATTTGAAGCAGCTCGTCCTCCGTCATGTCGGCCGGAGGAGGGATGGAAGGGGAGTGACAGATGTTGATGAACACCTTCCCTTCGGAGGAGTTGGTCTTTATGCAGAAACCTGGTGGAAATAGGTTTGTCCTGAGGTGTGTGCCTCTGCACACATCTGGGTTTCCATTCATTCCCTCCTCAGTCTCTGTTCTCTTGATCTGTCCCCTCTTTGTCCCCTTCTCTTGATCAGTCCTCTGCTTTCTGAATCTGCTCCCCGCCCCACCCCTGGGATCTGTAACTCTCTCTCTTTATTTATTATTTGAGGGAACACAAGCAGGGGGAGTGGGAGAGGGAGAAGCAGGCTTCCCACTGAGCAGGGAGCCCGATGCGGGGCCTGAACACAGGACCCCGGAACCATGACCCTAGCCGAAGCCAGATGCCCAACAACTGAGCCACCCAGGCGCCCCCTCTGTAACTCTCTATCTTTGAGTCTCTCTCCCCCTAGTCACGCCTGTCCTCCTCCTCTCTTTAGATCTTAGTCCCTTCCCTCTCCCTCTGGATCTCTGTCACAACCCCCGCCAAGGCCTGTGTATTCCCATTATTGTGCCTCTCTCCTGCCTCCTATCTCTGTGTCCCCTGCCCCTAGCCTCTGTCCACTCTCTTTGCAACTCTATCCCCCTCTCTCTGGGTTTCTGCCTTTCTCACCAGGTTGCGGTTGGATCTGTGTAGATTCTGGTCTGCTTGTCTGGGCCTGTTGGAGCTCCTTGGAGGCCTGTGTGAAGGAAAACAACCACCTTCATGCTGGCGTCTGGGCCATCAGACCCTCCTTTGTTCTTCAACGGTTTGTCGAGAAATTTTATGCATATGAGATGTACACAGAATAGGACATACTATGTCCCGCTCCTCCTTTGAGGACCGCAAAGAACAACCCCAACCCCACTTGCATTTCTTCCAGAGCCTAGAAAACTTGGGAGTTAAGCAACTACAATTCCATATAGTGCGTTCTGGGAATGTAGTCCCATCCCTGAGCACCCTCGGGTGTGCATATACACGTGTGCGTGAGCGGGCGTGTACACACACACACACACACAAATCCCCCGAATACCCAGGGACCCTGGAGTTGGTCAGTCCTCACCTGCAGCAGCAGCTCCTCGAAACGCGCGGTCTCAGCGCCCATCTTCTCTGCCTCGCTTAGCTCCGGCACCAGCAGCTTCGAGTCCGCCATAGACCTGAAGAAGAGACCTAGGCGTCCTCAGCAACACCGACGTGCGCGGGGCGGGGAAGGACCCTGGCCAGGATCAGAACTCCGTGGCCTGCTGCCGGACACCCACTATTCTGTATGAAATCTAAGAACCTGAGCTTGAGACTACAGTTCCACTCATGCCAGTCACGGCTGTCCAATCTGTTGGAGACAACAGTTCTAGATGCTCTCTAAGTCCTGTGTGCCGAACGTGTATACGACAGCCACACTCCCAGCCTCTGTAACCAAGGACTTCAACAGACCACGCTTCGGTCCACCTCAAACGCCCAGACACCAATCCGGGAACCCCACTACGTTCCGGCCAATCATAGTCTAAGGCTGGAGCCTCGCCTCTCACCTCAACCAATCAAAACTTTAAACCCTGAACCTAATTTCTGAATGCCACACTTCCTGGGTCGATTAAAGCGATACCTCTCCTCTTTCCAGACTACATCTGGCCAAGCTACTGGGTGGGCAGTCCAGGCTGGCATACTCAAAACCTTAATTTAAACGTCTATCCTAAAAGACTCCCTTCTGACCTCTGAACTATCGCTTCGTCCCAGAGCTCGAGTCGATTCTCTAGTAAATTTACTTCGGACTAAAAGGTGAACTCCTTGCCCTCAGTATGAACAGGGTGGAAAGGAGATACACAAATACGGCCACGCTTCTAAATCTGGAGCCTTTCTATTTGCAAGACACACACATTTTTGTCCTGTCCCCCACCGCGCCTCGCTCTGAGGATTGCGCATGCTCCAAACCACCTTGCCAGCTGGAGCGTGTGGGCGGGGCCACTGGGTCTAAGGCGGGGTTACGCCCTATCTCCCGTAGTCCCGCCCCCTGCACTGGAGGGGGCGGTGCCGCCCTTCGACCTCAAGGTTCCTCTGGGCAGAGCGCCCCGCACTCCTTGGTGGAAAGCGACTCCGGAGGGTGATGGCTGCTACGCGTGCAAGGCCCAGCGCCCGAGAGATCTTCACCACGCTGGAGTACGGACCGGTGCCTGAGAGCCACGCATGCGCACTGGTGAGGGCCTGCCGTTCGCCGTTGCCCATCCCCCTCCCCAGGCCTCCGGGTCTTGTTTGGCGCGCGGACTCCCGTGATCCACCGCGGCAGGTCCGCCCTTCTCGGTTCCCGTGACTCCGGCTACTCCTTAGGACCCACCCTTGAAGGGCATTCCCTTGAGCCTTTGCGGCTGCTGCCTCTTAACCCTTGAGTTTTTTCTCTTGTTTCGGAGCCTTTCTCGTACCTCCGCTCTGCGGCGGTGTTTCCCCGATGCCTCAGAGCCCCCAAAGGGCCTCCTGTGATTCTTCAGCCTCCCCTTCCCGGACCTCCCGTGAATCCCAGGGACTCAGAATTCCTGTAGGACACCCCTTATCTTCCAAAGACCCCCAGAATCTCCATGGACTTCCCGTGATTCCTCAAAACATCCTGTGGCTTGCGTGGCTCTCTGAGCCCCACCCCGTCGAACTCCTGTGGGTTCCCCGTAATTTCTCAGGGCCCCCATCAATCATTGCGGAGCTTCTAGGATCCTGGGAACGCCAGGATAGCTCAGAATTTAATTGTAATCTCTTACAGCCCCTCAGAATACCCTCGTGGGGCTCCCATGATTCTAAAGCGTCCTTTCAAGTCCTGGGATCCCTCGGGGTCCCCCATAACCTCTTGTGGTTCCTGTGGATAAGTAGGGTGCCTCGCATATTCTATAATTACCCCGGCTCCTAAGAACTCCTCCCATGGGGCTCTCCTCATCCCACAGGGTCTCTAGCACCCAGGAATGAAAAGCTTAGGCTGGGACAGTGGTCCAAGTGGAAGATGAGGCCAGAGCCTGGAGCGGGTTGTGGAAGTGGATAGATAGATAGGAGGGGATGAGGCAGAGATACAGGAGGACCAGTGTCAGGAGTTGAGAGGGCAAGGCAGTGTCTGGGGTTTGGCTGTCTGTGGTCGCGTCTCCCCCACCCCTCACCACCACCACCACTAGTGGTGAACCCAGGAGGACTGGGGCTCCGGGGATAGACCTGAGCTTGGTTATCACATGGTGAAAGTGTGAGGGACCCTGGACAGCCTTGGCCTTGTGAAGGCATCAAATGCTACTTGGCCCAAGCCTTCAGGTCTGGAGACAGGGACCTGGGAGTCATCAATGTGGAAGGATAGTTGAACTGAGGGAGTGAGGATCTGGATCAGAGGACAGACCATTCCCACACTTGGAGCTTGGCTAGAGATGGAATATACTGAAATAGCAATAATAGCTAATAGTAATCATAGCAATAATAGTAATCATAGCTTATATTCACTGGGAGCTCTCTGTGCCAGCCTCTGTACTCAGTGTGATCTAATTTAATCCCTAGAACAGCTGTGAGAGGGGATTATTGTCATTATTTTAGCCATAGCACAGGGAGGCATAAAGGGTATGTAATTTGCCCTCTGTCAACACAGTTTAAAAGAGGCAAAGCTGAGATTTGAACCTAAGCCCTAGGATTCCACAGCCCATGGTTCCCCCACCGCCTCCCAAGCAAAGGTCTCAACCTTCCAATGCGTGAGCCAGACTCAACCAACAAACTGTTTTCTTTGGCCCGCACTTTATTTTTGAAAATTTGAATTAGTGGTCAACTAATTCCCCGTAAACATCCAGGAGGAGTCCAGCTTCTTTTGAAAATAAAAACCCCAAATTTGGCAATGTTTGGCTCACATTCCCTGACAAAAGTCATCTGGATTCAATAGTGACTGTCTCTTTAGACAAGTTACGAGTTCCCAATCTCCACCAGCCCCTCTTACACTAACATGACTTCCCAGGGCCCTGTGGACATTCTTTTATGGTTTTGTTTTTCTTGGGCAGGGTTGGGGGGATTGGGGGGGTGGGGTGGAGATTGCAAACTTCCACAGAATACTTAATAGTGCTACTTACCTATCCCTCAGCTTCAGGAACTGCCAGACATGTAGTCCAGTGTTGCCTTCTTTTGTTTTCTCTTTTTTCTGGAACGATTTAAATCCCCGATGTCCTGTTAGCTTCCAAGAAATATTTGAATTCTCATTTCTAACAGATAAAGACTAATTTTGTAACATAATCACCTAGCCACTTTAATTAAATTAATTTTTTTAAAGATTTTATTTATTTATTTGACAGAGAGAGACAGAGCGGCATCACAAGTAAGCAGAGCATCAGGCAGAGAGAGAGGGGGAAGCAGGCTCCCCGCTGAACAGAAAGGCCGATATGGGACTCGATCCCAGGACCCTGAGATTGTGACCCGAGCTGAAGGCAGAGACTTTAATCCACTGAGCCACCCAGGCGCCCCTAATTTTTTTTTTTTTTAAGAGAGAGAGCAAGAGCACTCCAGCAAGCGTGCAAGCAGGGGGAGGGGCACGAAAATCTTAAGCAGTCTCCACACCCAGCACAGAGCCCAAAAAGGGGCTCAATCTCACAATCCTGGGCCAAAATCAAGAGTCAGACGCTTAAGCGACTGAGCCACCCAAGCAACCCCACCTAGCCATTTTTCACACTTCACATTAGTGGTCACTTTTATTTTTTTTTTTTTTAAGATTTTACTTATTTGTCAGAAAAGAGAGAGCACAAGCAGGGGGAGCAGCAGGCTCAACATCGAGAAAGGAGCCCAAGGCAGGACTGACCCCGGAACCCTGAGATCATGACCTGAGCCTCCCAGGCATCCCATCGCTCATTGCTTAATATCATCCAATGCCCAGCTCATGTTCGTGCACCTCCAACTATTTCCAAAATGTGTCTTTCCCTGGGGGTATTTGAATGGGAAACTTCTGACTCACCCTTCGACTTCAGAGAAAAAGCAGAAGGGCCAGTTGGCAGGGTAAGAGGAAAATCGGGAGAATGTGGCTTTGGGATGCTAAGAAGGAGAGAGCAGTTATAGAAGGAAAGAGTGGAAAGCAGGTCTGGGATTTCGCCAGGATCTAGGGAAGGCAGGACCAGGGAGAGAAACATGGAGCAGATATGGAAGGGGAGGTGCAGTGAGATTAAGAGGGAATCCTACCTAGTGCTGCTCTGAGTGTACGATGTGCATTGATGCATTTAATTAATCCTTGCCACAGCCCCGTGAAGTAGCGAGGGGCTGTGCTTATCCCCATTTTCCAGATGGCCAAAGTACTGTTACACCCCGGCTGACATTGAACAATAAATACTAGAGCCAAGATTCAGTCTCCTAGCCCCAGAGACTCCATGCCACACTGTCCCCTTTGCAGTGCCTCTCCGCTCTGCCCTGGGCTCAGGTAGACACGTCACAGCCAAATAAGCTGCACCTGGTAAGCCTGTGTCTACAGCGGGGGGTCCTCGCTGCCCCTTGAAGTGATGGCCGCCGGGTGCAGGAGCCACCTGGCTTAGCCGCCCCCCTTCCAAATAGAACCCGTTACTGCCCGATAACAGTGTCACAGGCATTGCCTCCAGGGTTGTGACAAGGTACGCGCCCAATCTCAGGAACGTAGGGCGGTCCAGAAAGCCCCAGTGCTCGGGCCTCCCGTTGGATCTCTATGGCGTGTTCCCAGTTTTCCCAGGCAGGTGCGGTGGACCCTTCAGGAGTCATTGTTGCCTGGTGATGCTGCGGAATTACCTCAGGAATCCTGAGAAACAGGAAGCTTGCCCGGGTCGTTTCTCCATGGAGGAGAAAGGGTTTTATTAAGCCACATTTCAAAGTCAGTAGGACAGGGGCACCTGGGTGGCTCAGTGGCTTAAGCGTCTGCCTTCGGCTCAGGTCATGATCCCAGGGTCCTGGGATCGAGCCCTGCATCGGGCTCTCTGCTCGGTGGGGAGCCTGCTTCCCCCTCTCTCTCTGCTTACTTGTGTTCTCTCTCTGTGTCAAATCAATGAATAAAATCTTTAAAAAAAGAAGAAAAAAAAGCAAAGTCAGTAGGCCAGCCCTCCTATATCTCTGGTGAGAACATGAAACAGCTTGGTGGGCTCCTCCATAAGTTACTCGTGGAGTTGACCTGTGACCCTCCTGGGTCCACATGCCTAGAAGAAGTAAAGTCAGGTGTTGGAACAAAAACTCGTGTGTGCATGTTCCAAGCAGTGCTATTCACGATAACTGGAAGGCAAAGACAGACCAAAGCCGCATCCACTGGTGATAAATGGATAAACAAAATGTGGCCTATCCAGACAATGGAATATTGTATAGGCGTGTTAAAAAAAAAAAAAAAGTTTGTTGTTGTTGTTGTTGTTGTTTAAAAGGGAGAGAAGAGGGGGAGAGACTGAGGGAGAGAATCTCAAGCAGGCTCCATGTCCAGCATGGAGCCCAGTGTGGGGCTCGATCTCATGACGCTGAGATCATGACCTGAGCCGAAATCAAGAGTCGGATGCTTAATGGACCAAGCCAGCCAGACGCCCCAGGAATGGAGTATCGATAGATATTACAACTGGATGTTGTAAAAACAGGGTGTTGGACGAAAAAAGCCAGGCAAAAAGAATCACAGATTGTAAGGTTCCATTTCTGTGAGATAATCCAGAGTCAACAAATCCACAGAAACAGGAAGCAGATCAGTGGTAGCCAGAAGCTAGGGGCAGGGGGAGAGAAGAGTGACTGCCCAGTGTGTACAAAGTTTCCTTGCAAGGGGATGGAAATATTCTAGAAGGAGATCTGGTGATGGTGGCACGTTCTAAATGCTGCTGAACTGTATCCTTTACAATGCTTAACACGATGAGTTTTTGGTTTTAATATATGTTATGTTTAGGGGTTATTTTCCTTCTACACAGGAAAAGAATGAGCAGGGGGGCAGAGGGGTGCAGGTGTCCTCTCCCAGAGGATTCTAGGCAGGGATTGAGCTCCCCCAGCTGCCTCCCAGACCCCATTCCAAACTGTCTTCACCTCCCACAGGCCTGGCTGGACACCCAGGACCGACACTTGGGTCACTATGTAAACGGGAAGTGGTTGAAGCCAGAACACAGGAACTCAGTGCCTTGCCAGGATCCCATCACAGGTATGAGGTGTCCCCCAGCTGCTATGGGAGGGAGAGGCATCTACACTCCCAGCTGGACCGACAACAAGGCCCCATTCCCTTTGCTCAGGGATCTGAGGGCAGGGTATAGCCAGTGGGGGAT